GTGTCATGTGGAGGTGGGTTGACTTGTTTTCCCCTGCAGAGGAGGGCAGGACACGTTCCATTGGAGCAAAGCTCAGGGAACCAAGGTTCAAACTGGATACCAGGAAATACTTCCTGACAGGACCCCAAGGGTATGGAATGGGCTTGCATGGAAGGTGGTTGAAACCCCCTCAATAAGGATGTTCAAAAATAGGCTGGACATGCACATGGTATGCATGTCATGAACAGAGCTGACTGGAGCCGGGGGTGAGACTAGATGGCCCAGGAGACCCCTTCTCAGAAACAAAGAATCTTCAATGTATCTTCTTAGCAATGCATGGTCCTGAAAGAAATGTTAATAATTTGAGATATGCAGATAACATTACTCACAGAGAGCAGCCACAAACTGAAGTGACTCCTGATAAAAGTGAAAGAAGCAAGTGCAAAAGCAAGACTTCAGCTGAGTATTAAGAAATAAAAATCAAGACTACAGAATTACAGAACTGTACTGTTAACAGCAAAGAAAATGAAATTGTGAAACTTTTGGCTCAGTTATTGACTGCAGCCAAGAAATTTGAAAAAGATTGAGAGTGGAAAGGGCAGCAATGAAGAAGCCAGAAAAGATCATCAAGTGTAGGAACATTTCACTGGAAACAAAGGCTAAAATCATCTTCACTGTTGTATTCCCAATTATTACATATGGTTATGAAAGTTGAACAGTGAAGAAATCAAAGAGGAATAAAATCGATGCACATGAGACATGGTGCTGGGGGAAAGCTTTGTTAATACCCTGGAACAACAGAAAAATGAGCAAGTGGGTCCTAGATCAAATCAAGCCAGAGTTTTCTTAGAAGCAAACATGACAAAACTAAGACTGTCATAACTTTGGGCATATCATGAGAAGGCATCTTTGGAGAAGACAATCATGCTACAAAAAGTTGAAGGCAGAAGAAGAAAAGAAAGACCAAAAATGACATGGATTGGTTCCATTAAGACACAGACTTCAGTTTGGAGGTGCTGTGCAGGGGTGTCATGACTAGGACATTTTGGAGGCCTTTCATTCACAGGGTTGGTATAAATCTGAGATGAGTTGTTGGCACATATCAACAACAACAGCAGACAAACAGTCTTTAAAAGCTAGTGCTTCTAAATGAACAAGAAAGATATTTTGAAGCACCTGTTCAAAACCAGTGAAATTTTAAATTAGGCAGTCAAAATTTGGTGCAAGCAAGTGTAATGGCTGAAAAGTCTAGTAAAGAGATTTTTATCAGTATATTACTGAGACTGAAAGACATAATAATTACAGTGCTGCCATATTTTAGATAATATGGTAAAATTAAACTGTTAGCATAGGGCTCAGCAACACAAGCTTTAGCTTGGGAGGCCCTCCCCATGCTTCCCTATAGCCTACCTAAGCATCTGGACTTCAGGCAAAACAGTGCTGTTTGAGTGATGCTATTAGCTCTGCCCCCTTCATGGATCACTGCCTTGCTGTGGTGAAGGGGCTTGCAAAGCCCAAAGAATCTATGAGCTAAACTGTGTAGGGGAACCGAGGACAGGTCATAGCAGAGAGCTCTGACAAAAGCTGATCCACTGGAGAGGGAAATGACAACCCACTCCAGTACCCTTGCCATTTAAACCCCATGGACAGTACCAAAAGGCAAAAAGATGATGCTGCAAGATGAGCCCCTCAGGTCAGAAGGTGTCCAATGTGCTACTGAGGAAGAGCAGAGGGCTAGTACTAGTAGTGCCAGAAAGAATGAAGCAACTGGGTCAAAGCCAATAGGACACTCAGTTGTGGATGTATCTGGTGGTGAAAGAAAAGTCAGATGCTGTAAAGATCTATACTCCATAGGAACCTGGAATGTAAGATCTATGTATCAAGGTAAGCTGGACGTAGTCAAAAATGAGATGACAAGACTGAACATCGACATCTTGGGAATCAGTGAACTAAAATGGACAAGAATGAATGAATTTAACTCAGTTGACCATCAGGTATACTACTGTGGGCAAGAATTCCTCAGAAGAAATGGAGTAGCCTTCATAGTCCATAAAAGAGTAGGAAAAGCAGTACTGGGATACAATCTCCAAAATGACAGAATGATCTCAGTTCAAATCCAAGGCAAACCATTTAGCATCACAGTAGTCTATGCCTCAACCACTGGTGCTGAAGAGGTGAAGTTGACTGGTTCTGTGAAGGCCTACAACACCTTCTAGAACAGGGGTCTCAAACTCAACTTACCTAGGGGCCGCTGGAAGTAGAGTCTGGGTGAGACTGGGCCGCATCAAGTATTCCACCACTGCGGTGGTGGTGGGCCGCTCATCCTGCGGCCAGCCTGGGCGCCGCCGGCGCTTTGAAGGCCACAGGGCCCCTCCCCCATGCCCTGCCCATCCCGGCAATTGGCCCGCGGGCCACGAGTTTGAGACCCCTGTTCTAGAATTAACACCAAAAAATCCTCATCATCATGGGGGGTTGGAATGCTAAAGTAGGAAGCCAAAAGATCACCGGAATAACAGGCAAGTTTGGCCTTGGAGTACAAACTGAAGCAGGGCACAGGCTGGTAGAATTTTGTCAAGCGAATACGATGGTCATAGCAAACACTCTTTTCAAACAACCCAAGAGACGACTCTACACATGGACATCACCAGATGGTCAACACAGAAATCAGACTGACTATGTGCTCTGCAGCCAAAGATGGAGAAGCTCTATACAGTCAGTAAAAACAAGACCAGGATCTGACTGTGGCTCAGATCATGAGCTTCTTGTTGCAAAATTTAGGGTTAAATTGTAGAAAGTAGGGAAGAGCACTAGGCCATTCAGGTATGACCTAAATCATATACCTGATGAATGTACAGTAGAGGTGACACATAGATTTAAGGAATTAGATCTGATAGACAGAGTGCCTGAAGAACTATAGGTGGAGGTTTGCAACATTGTACAAGAGGTAGCAACTAAAACCATCCCAAAGAAAGAGAAATGCAAGAAAGCAAAATGGCTTTCTGAGGAAACTTTACAAATAGCTGAGGAAAGAAGGGAAGCAAAAGGCAAGGGAGAAAGATACACCCATTTGAATGCAGAATTCTAGAGAATAGCTAGAAGAGATATGAATGCCTTCTTCAATGAACAGTGCAAAGAAATAGAAGAAAACAATAGAATAGGGAGGACCAGAGAACTCTTCAAGAAAATTGGAGATATGAAGGGAACGTTTCATGCAAAGATGGGCATGATAAAGGACCAAAATTGCAGGGAACTAACAGAGGCAGAAGAGATTAAGAAGAGGTGGCAAGATTACACAGAGGAACTATGCAAAAAAGAGCTTAACATCCCTGATAACCACAATGGGGTTGTCACTGACCTCGAGCCAGACATTCTGGAATGTAAAGTCAAAAGGGCCTTAGGAAGCCTGAGCAACAACAGAGTTATTGGAGGTGACAGTATTCCAGCTGAGCTATTCGAAATCCTAAAATATGATGCAGTGCTACACTTAATATGTCAGCAAATTTGAAAAACTCAACAGTGGCCACAGGATTGGAAAAGTTCAGTTTACATTCCAATCCCAAAGAAGGGCAATGACAAAGAACATTCAAACTACCGCACCATTGCACTCATTTCACATGCTAGCAAAGTTATGCTCAAAATCCTGCAAGCTAGGCTCCAACAGTTTGTGGACTGAGAACTACCAGAAGTACAGGCGAGCTTTCGAAGAGACAGAGGAACTAGAGATCAAATTGCCAAAATACACTGGATTTTGAAAGAAAGAAACATTCATTTCTGCTTCACTGATTATGCTAAAGTCTTTGATTGTGTGGATCACAACAAATTGTGGCAAGTTCTTAGAGAGATGGGAGTCCCAGGCCATCTTATTTGTCTCTTGAGAAACCTGTATGCAGGTCAAGAAGCAACAGTGAGAACTGAACATGGAACTACTGAGTGATTAAATTTGGGAAGGGAGTATGGCCAGGCTATATATTGTCGCACTGCCTATTTAACTTATATGCAGAGCACATCATGCGAAACGCTGGGCTGGATGAATCACAAATTGGAATTAAAATTGCAATTGAGAAATACCAACAACCTCAGATATGCAGATGATACCACTTTAATGGCACAAAGTGAAGAGGAACTAAAGAGCCTCTTGATGTGGGTAAAAGAGGAGAGTGCAAAAGTTGGCTTGAAACTCAACATTAAGAAAACTAAAATCATGGCAGCTGGTCCTATCACTTCCTGGCAAATAGATGGGGAAGAAATGGAGCTAGTGACAGATTCTATTTTCCTGGGCTTCAAGATCACCACGGATGGGGACTGCAGCCAAGAAATTAAAAGACACTTGCTCCTTGTGAGGAAAGCTATGGCAAATCTAGACAGCAGACTAATAAGCAGACTCATTACCCTGCTGACAAAAGTTCGTATAGTCAAGGCTATGGTTTTCCCAGTTGCATTGTATGGCTGTGAATGTTGGACCATAAGGAAGGCTGAGTGCTGAAGAATTGAAGCCTTTGAATTGTGGTGCTGTAGAAGACTCCTCCAAGTCCCTTGGATCTCAAAGAGATCAAACCAGGAGATCAACCCTGACTGCTCTTTAGAAGGCCAGATACTGAAGATGAAACTCAAATACTTTTGCCACATAATGAGAAGGAAGGACTCCCTGGAGAATACCCTAATGCTGGGAACAATTGATGGCAAAAGAAGAAGGCGATGGCAGAGGATAAGGTGGATAGGTGAAGTCACTGAAACAGTCGGTGTGAGCTTGAGGGGACTCCGGGAGATGGTGGAGGACAGGAAGGCCTGGAGGAGTGTTGTCCAATGGGTCGGACACTACTTCGGAACTAGCAACTTTAGCTATGCTGATCACCTGGTTTAGAATAAGCTTTACCTGCTACCTCCAACTAAGTCAGTATAACTGTGGGGAGGGGGGATTTTCTCCATATTTTTCATTGATTGCTTCTATCTGTGTGTGCATGAATGGTTAGTCTATAAAAAGCCACCAAACTCTCTTTTTAATCCACATTGTTTGCTTCCAGGGACTGACTGCATTAAATTAATAAACGGAGGTTCAGGTAACCCAGGTCTGCCAGGACCAAGAGGTAAATTTTCTTTTTTTTTTCTTTAAAAAAATAGATGTATAATAAACAATGCAATTTTCAAATAAAACATTTTTCTTAAACAAAATTGGGACATAACTTCTGGGTATAATACAAACGTTCTAAATTGTAATTTCAATTCCAAAAGGATAGAGAAGGAATCCATTTCTGAAAATAATTAACTATCCATTTATACAATCAATCATTGATGCAATGATCATGCTAGAATATCATCCTAATCCAACTGTAAAATTTCCACCATAATTTTAAAGGCATCAAAAGAGGTGTGGTCATTCCATCAGTTCAATACAAACCTGCATATAAAACTTTCTCTGCCCTCAATAATTTCTTCCAGAAAACTTGGTAATTATAAGCCAAATGATTTTCAGTTTTTGAATAATTCTGTGCCTTACCTTAAAAATGTTGGTATCTGGGGAGGTTGCATTAGTCACAACCATCTGAGATCTCATCTCATAATCTCCAGAAAGACTCTCAGATCACCTGAACTCATAGACTTGTCTAATAACAGATGTAAAAGAAGAAAGCAGAAGGTCCAGTTTATTATGTATTCTAAGGCAAAAATTCAGTACTTCCAAGGGAGGCAGGGGTTTGGAGCTGTGTGTAAATGCATGTATGGCAAGGTGCAATATGGGATATTCCCATTTTTTTCCTCTATTAGAAATTCCAAAAGGGGCAGGTGTCAATTCCTGGTTCAGTAGATATTCTATGTGTGTCTCATCTAGGGATTTCATCATCATCTTTTAATTATATATGCTGCTTTTATGGTCCTATGTCTATGGATGTAATAAGACACTTGCCTCAGTTCATTTGTGACCAAAGTTTACCCCATTCACACCTCCTGAAAACAATTGTACAATCTGCAGTCATACCCTATACATTCTCAAACCTGTGATGTTGTTCACCAGGGTGGGAAGGTGGATGCATAAAAAGTATAAACATTAGAATAATGTGTGTTTTTTTTAAGTGTACATATACTGTCAGTATACAAGGTTTTGCTCAGCTTGTACACTAGCTATTAGAACCAGTAATGATTCTGTAGCAATGGTTTCCCTTGTCATATGAAATAGCAGTGATGAAACAGGGCAATGAGCCTATTTTTTTTTTCCTTGAGGGAAATTTCTGGCAGATGGGAATTAAAATAAATTTGTGCAATTGACCTGCTATACTAATCCAACTATAAAACGTCCCTTATAATTTTAAAGTCATCAAAAGAATTGCTGACATTTTTGATAATGGGTGGAATCCAACTTTCTCTCTCTCTATGCTGATGAAAGGCTTCCATCAGTAAGACTGGGAAAAGGGAAGTTTTCCCAGAATCTTTTCTAGTGGATTGGGGATCCACTGCAACAGATTTGATGGATACAAGGAGAAACAGAAGAAGAAAAAGTTCCAAAAGTTCCAGTGGAGCAGCTGTCTGCACCACTGCAATAAAGACTATTTTATCCATTTGCCAAGACTCTAGAATCTTTCATACAATAGCATGGCTACTAAATATATTAAACTAGTGCCAAAAATACCATATATACCAAAATACATCACATATATCAATAACCCAGATATCAATTCAACAGGATCAGGAGAGTTATTGGACAGGTGAACTTCTACAGATATCTTGGGCATATGCTAACAAAGCTTGTATCTGATTTCCTTAGGGCTGATCTAAACCACAAACTGTTCTATTGGGAGGCACATTCCTGTTTTATTTCCCCAGCTTTCTTGAACTGACCATCCCCATGACCTGCACCACAGCCAGCGTGGAAAGAACTGTGCTGGCTGCTTCTCTGGCATTGCAAAAATGTTCTTAATGAAAGAATTTATTGAGTGTTCTAAGGGAGGAAATCTACACTGTCAAGTTATAAGATCTCAGCAGTGCCTTAGCCTCCTTCCTTCCCTGACTTTCCCCCTACAGTAAGGCCAGAATATTGTACCATTATTACAGGATTACTGTTCCACTGTAGTTCTTTTATCGTCTATAAATGCCTTAAGAGATATAGGCAGTTGCTGGGTTTCAAACAAGTTATGTTTCTGAGAAAATGAAAGTTCATCTTTAAGTTGAATTTGTATGCAAGTCAAAGCATGTATAGTCAGCACTCCTCATTTGCCGAGGTCAGGGTCACAGGACAATGGAAACACTGCAAGTATACTCCACCCACCAGCCCAAACTCACCAGTGTCATATCTTTGCAGCAAGGAAATGCCAGAGAGATTTCTCTCTCCAGCAGATCAGGGCAGGAAGATGTGCTTTGGAGGCCTATCTCTACCCTTTTGCTTCCTCTCTTTATGGTGATGCTTTGGAGGCCTTCCCCCTCTTCTCTTTTGCTCCCTCTCACTCTATGGTGATGACAATTTTCTGCAGTAATTAAAAAAAAAAAATAGGCTGTATGACAGTTTGTTCATTATTACAGATTGTTCATAACTCGGGTGTTTATAACTTGGGGACTGCCTGTATAACTAAATTATGTCCAGTTAGAACTTTATATAAAATTAATTGTTTATTAAATTTAATTATAATTACATGGGTAAAATAATTCAAAATAATTACTTTTGAATTTTAAATAATTATGGTGTGTGAAAGGTCTTCCTCCCTCCCCCTCTCTCTTCTCCCCTCCCCCTCTCTGTGATCTGAATATTTATTCCTTATAGATGTGCATTTTTCTATGTTCGCATCTTACTTGTATAGATCTCTAAAAATACAGGTGCAAAAGGTGCAAAAGGTTTTCCAGGTGAACCAGGTCTTCATGGATCAAAGGGACTAATGGGCCCTCAAGGGAATCAAGGACATGAGAGTTTAGCAGGCCCACCAGGTAGTGTAAAAACTCCACATACACTTTCAAATATCGGCAATTTCAATGTTCATTTTTTAAAAATATTATTTGTGTATAGTATTAATGACTTGCTTTTCTACTGATACCTTTTTATTTGCTGGTGCTATAAAATATTGAAAATATACTGTTAGAACAGTCAAATTGATTATACAGATAAAGGCAGTTGTAGTTTCAGCTTGTAAAAATAGTCCATTATTCTGATGCAAATAGCTTTTCAAAAAGCAGTCTGCTGAATGTTATCAAATGCATACACCACAAAGTAGATGTTTGGTGCTATCGGCTCCACTTCAATTTAAAAAAGAACTTTTTTTTTTCAAAATAGCACAATGTGGAATCATGTTCAATTAATTTGTAGACATATAAATGTACATACAAAGTGAAGTACTAGTGTTTCTGGTCATTCCTAGTTGTCTTCAGTTAACCTAACAAATAATTTGAGACTCAACAAGTTATAATGGTTTTAGCTATGCTTGTCAGCTTGTTTGTATTCCCAGTATAAGAATAAATTTATTACTGGAGATATACATGCATGCTTCGTGTCAATTGAGAGTTTCTGACACTACAAAATGACCCGCAAAGATGTCTCAGCACATCCTTCCTTAAATGTACATTTGTGTATATTTATTGTGCTTAAGATGCAAAATATACACTTTATGCACATTTAGTTGTATATTTACCACAGTCTCAAGATCTTGAAGGACATTTTTTCAGGAAATGCTTGGAAGACAGTACTGGGGCACAGTGGCATATCAAAATCTAAAGAACTATACTACATTTGGCGTACTCCTAGTGAGGCTAAAGAACTATCTGTACATAGGACTTAGATTCTTTTCTAAGTTGATCCTAAATTGTATTTTTAGAGTAGAGTATGATCATTTCAAATAAGCGTTATTTATGTGCTTGCTTAACTTTCTCATTGAAATCAGTGAAAACTGTGATTATTTAGTTAAATACGTGCTCATAATTTGTATACCTCTGATTATTTTGATCTTATTTTGATCTTATAATTCAACTTAATGTGAATTATTTTTTGAAATAAGCTTATTACTGGGATGTCATTGTATTTAGGATTTCCTGGACCCAGAGGAAGCAGAGGTGCACCAGGATTGCTTGGGGAACAGGGTTTTCCAGGCAGTCCTGGTTTGCCAGGTTTTCCAGGACTTCCAGGGGCAAAAGGAATTACAGGTGATAGACTAGGAGCACCAGCAGGCCCTCAAGGGGATGGTGGACCACCTGGACTTCCAGGATCAAAAGGCCTTCAAGGGGATGTAGGCATACCAGGATTTAGAGGTAAGTCTTACTTTAAACAATCCAAAAGTTTTAATAAAGGACCTGGCTTCAGTGCAGTTAGGTTCACATGTATGCATTCTTTAAGTCTCTTCAGTGCTGATCATGCTAGCCCAATCCCTTGTAAACAAGTGCTTGTTATTTAATCATGCCACCAGTTTTCAGTCAAAACAGGATGGAAGGTAATACTGCTGAATGCCAGGTGAATAGGAAATAACTGCCATCCAGAGCTAGTTCTGTCCTATCTTGTATCACAGAGACCTGGTTGGATAAGATTGAAGGAATAAATCTCTCCCAGGTTTGTCTACCCAGGTTTTCTGTGTTTTAGCAGATAAGACCTGAGAGAGTCACAGTGGTTTCCTGTACTGTCATCCCTCTGTCCAGGTGTCCTATTCCACAGTCTTCCATGTTCAAGTTTATGCATCCCGAGATGGGTGTTGAGAATAGAAGAGAACCTCTTCAACACTCTTCCTTCTTGAGCTAGCCAAGGTGGTCTTCAGATTAATGCTGGAGCATCCACAGCTTCTGTGGCAGGGCATTTCAATATGCATGCTGAGGCTACCTTGTCAGGAGTGGTTCAGGACTTCATGGCCTCCATGGTAGCTATGGAGTTGTCCCAATTAGTATATCGCCCAACTTATTCAGCATAGCACACTTTGGATCTGGTTTTCTGTGTAAAGTGTGATGGTAATTTGGATGGAGGAACTTTCTGTAATCCCATCATCATAGACAGATCATCCCCTGATGGGATTTAAATTTGTCAGGACTTGGAGCCTCTGCGGAGATTCAGTTGTCAATTACATAATAATATAAGAGCCATGCTGAATTAAACTGAGGATCCATTAAGTCCAGGATTCTGTTCACACAGTGACCAATCAGCTACTCTAAAGAACCCTCAAGCAGGGCATGAGTGCAACAGCATCAGCCCACCCATACTCCCAAGAAACAAGTGTATATGGGCCTACAACCTCAGGTAGCTAGTCCTTGTCCTTCTGCTGGAAAGTACAGCCCATTTAATTCAAGAACATCTTTGCCCTGTATGTCCTGCAGAGGGCAACTCTGGACCCAGAGATAGCCACCAACTATAGGACGGTGGTTAACATCCCATTTTGGGGCAAGGTCCTCAAGCAGGAGGTGGCAGGACAACTCCAGGTGCTCTTGGAGGAAACTTACCATCTGGACACATTTCAATCTGACTTTAGACCTGGCTACAGTCAGTGTGAGCTTGAGTGGACTCCGGGGGATGGTGGAGGAGAGGAAGACCTGGAGGAATGTTGTCCATGGGGTTGTGATGGGATAATTCCAGTTATCTTTTGGCTTTCTACTTTAGCATTCCAATCCCCCATGATGATGATGGTGCTACTAGTACTAGCCCTCTGCTCTTCCCCAGTAGCACATTGGACACCTTCTGACCTGAGAGGCTCATCTTCTGGTGTCATATCTTTTTCCTTTTGGTATTATCCATGGGATTTTCATGGCAAGGGTACTGGAGTGGGTTGCCATTTCCTTCTCCAGTGGAACAGCTTTTGTCAGCGCTCTCTGCTATGACCTGTCTGTCTTGGATGCCCTTACACCACATAGCTCATTACTTACTCATGACAAGGCAGTGATCCATGAAGGGGAAGTAAGTAAGTAAGTAAATATGTGACGCCTTGGGGTTGGTTGATGTTTTTATTTTGCAGTAGTTACATTTTTATTATATTTTAATGTAACCTGGTTATATAAACTCGACAGCCAAAACAATACTGCTAATTTTATTTTGTATCTATTGATAGGCAGCTACGGCATTCCAGGTCTACCTGGAGCTAAAGGACCACAAGGATCTTCTGGGCCTGTTGGTTTGACTGGTATGCCAGGACCACAAGGATCATTTGGATTCCCTGGACTGCCAGGCCAGCAAGGACCCATGGGCAGACCAGGTTCACAAGGGTTTGTGGGTGAGGATTTCTTCCTGTGTTCCACCCAAACATTCTTGTCTTCATAATTACCCTCTATACATTGAGCACTTTCCTGGGATAAAATGCTATGTTGACAACTTTTTGCCTTTGAGGGCTACATATAGTGGTTGAGATTTCCATGCAGCTAGTAGATGTGGCTCAAGTTAGTCATGGACAGGGCCTTATATCTACACCCTTCCAGCTATTTCCAGTGCTGTCTGTTTGGTAGTCAGGAATCATGTGATGGATGTGTAGCAATCCTATCAAAGACCTGTCCTAGTTAATTGGAACTGGAGAAAGCTCAGTGCTATGCAGTCAATCAACTGGAGAGCTGTGTTTCAGCATGCGAGGCTGTATGGACAACTATCAAGGACTACAGATTGTTATATCAATGACCTGGAGGAAGGGATAACCAGTCTACTAAGTGGAGTAGTGGCCACAATTGAGCAGGTGATCCAGATCCAGAAGGATCTGGACAAACTGTGGAAGTGGGTGGGGGACAAGAGGATGGCATTCAATGTGCACATGGTGGGCATGTCATGAGCGGAGCCGGGAGTCAGACTAGATAGCCCGAGAGGCCCTTTCTAACTCGCTCTATGTTTCTAAGGGCAAGATCTTGCACTTGGGACACAGGAATAAGTGTGACAGATACACGATGGGGAACGAGTGGCTGGAAAGCAGCACTTGTGAAGGGATCTCGGGGTATTTGTCAACAGCAGTAGTTGCTGAACATGAGCCAGTACTGTGACATGGTGGTTAAGAAGGTAAATGCCAGATGTATGCCTTGGATGTATAGCTAGAAACATGGCTTCCAGATCTGGGGAGGTATTGATATTGCTCTGCATGACTCTGGTGCACCACAACTGGAGTACTGTGTCCAGTTCTGGCCTCTATATAGATATAGCTATGGTTAGAATTGGTTCAGCACAGGGTCACAGGAATGGTAGCAGGATTTGGAGGGATGACATATGAGGAGAGATTGAGGGAACTGGAGAAGAGGAGTCTGGAGAAGAAGAGACTCTGAAGAGGTCTTTTAGTGACTCATAGCTTTGTGAGGGAATATCATGTGGAGGAGAGCCATGATCTGTTCTTCCCTGCAGTGGTGGGAATGGGCAAAGCTCAAGCATCCAGCTTCAGGATGGATGTCAGGAAGTACTTCCTGATGGTTAGGACCCCTTTTGATGGCAAAAGAAGGGGACAGCAGAGAGTGAGGTGGCTATGGAATCACTGAAGGAGTCGGTGTGAGCTTAAGTGGACTCCAGGGGATGGTGGAGGACAGGAAGAACTGGAAGAATGTTGTCCATGGGGTCACAATGGGTTGGACACGACTTCATGAATAACAACAACAAGGACCCCTAGGATATGGAATGGGCTTCTAAGGGACGTGGTTGAGGCCTCTTCTGACTTGCTTTGTTTCTATGTTCCTATGTTCCTGTGCAAACCATTACCAAGCTATCCCTTTGAGGGCATTTGGTGCACCACTAACCCTGGGATTGCTGTGACTTGCAGGGATTCTATCTCCCTCTATAGGCTTCCTGTTCATTTAAACTGAAGTCTTGGGTGTTCCTATTGTGTGTTCAGTATCCAGGACAGATTAGGAATTCTGAGACTGATGGATGAGGTTCTGGGGGATTTCAACTTCCAAGCAAAGATTGCTGGACCTGAACAGTGGTTCAGGACTTCATAGCTGCCTTGACAACCATGGAGTCTTCACAGTTGATACAGTCCCATAAGCAGAGGTATTCAGAGCACTGACTGGTCTGGATGACTTTCATTTCTTAAGGACAAAGTGTTCAAGGTGAAAACCAATCAACTATCTCCATGCTTGATTTTTGCAATCCATAGCTTATTGCATCTAATATGGAATTGATATTCATCAAAGTACAGGCAGTTGTAAATTTGTTGAACAAAAGATTAGTTCTAGCCTCTTTAAGGGAGATATTAGGACATTCCTGAAGAAGCCTAGATTGTACCCAGAAGTTGTTAACAATTATAAGCCAGTTGCCCAGATCCCCTTCCTGGGTGTAGCCCGAATGAATGGCTTGGAGACATTCATCAATGATACTGAATATCACTTTCATTCAGGCTTCATGCCTGGTTTTTTAGTGGAAACTGTATTGGCCAAACTCCTGTTGGCCAAAATAGGAGCATGGTATGTGGACCCCACTGATTCTCAGTGAATTTCAAAACCATACAACATACTAACCTTCTGTACAAACTATCTGAGCTGGGTGTTGGAGATACTGCATTGCAGTGGTTCTACTACTTGAATGCAAATTTCAGAAAGCAGTGTTGAGGGACATTTCTTTGTGCCTTGGCAGTCATGCTATGTGGTTCCATAAGCATCATGTTATCAAGCTGCTAGGAAAGATTATCTGGAGATGTGGACTGAGCTGTCACCAGTTTACAGGTGACATCCATCTCTACCTTCATCAAATCCAGATGAAGCAGTCACTGTTCTGAATCAGTGACTGACTGCAGTGGTGGACTTGATGGGGGATAACAAACTGAGACAAGACAAAACTGTGGGTGGGTGATTCAGCTGCTTGTCTAAGTGATGTTCAACCTTTTCTGAAGGAGGTTGCACTTCCCCAAAGAATTGGGGTTATTGTTTGGGGTGCTCAATTGTCACAAATGGTTTTGGCAGTATAGAATATTACTATAGAATACATAATTGTCACAAATGGTTTTGACAGTATAAAATAACTTTAATCATTTTAAACTGGCATACCAACAATGTTATTTGAACAGAGATAGTGCAGCTCCAATAATCACATGTTTAGAATCATAGAATAGTAGAGTTGGAAGAGACCTATAAGGCTTATAAGGCTACTGAGTCAGTGCAGGAATCCAGATTAAATCCACCCTTTCAGATGGCAGTCCAGTTTCATCTTGAATGCCTCTAGTGCAGGAGAACCCACATCTTCCCTGGGTTGTTCATTCCATTGTCATACTGTTCCAACACATTTAGGAAATTTTTCCTTCTATCTAACCAGAATTTGGCTTCCAGTAATTTGAGTCCATTATTCCATGTCCTGCACTCTTGGATGATTGAGAAGAGAATCCGGCATTGTCTTTGTGACAGCCTTTCAAGTACTTGTAGAGTACTTGATATCATACAGTATCTCCTCTCAGTATTATCAAGGTTAAACATGCCTGTTTCTTCCCATCTCTCTCCGGGCTTTGTTCTGAGCTCCTGGATCATTCTAGTTGTCCTCCCCTAAACCTTTTCCAGCTTGTATGCATGTTTCTTAAACTGTGGTGTCTAGAACTGGACACAATACTTCAGATGAGGACCAACTAGTGCTAAGAAAAGGGGAACTAATACTTTATGGGAGTTGGAAGTGATCCTTCTATTAATGCAGCCAATGCCCTTTTTGCAGCCACTTCACATTGTTGACTCATATTCAGCCTGTGATCTACAACAATTCCAAGATCCTTCTTACTTTTAGTACTGTTGAGCCTAGTATCTCCCATCTTGCAACTATGCATTTGGTTCCCTTTTCCTAGCTTAGAACTTGGCATTTGTCCATATTGAATTTCTTCCTGTTGCTTTCAGCCTATCAAGATGACTTGGGATTTTGTTTCATCTTCCAGGATATTAACTATCCCACCCAGTTTTGTATCATCTGCAAACTGATCAGCATTCCTTCCACCTCTTCATGCAAATTATCAGTAAAAATGTTGAAGAGGGCCCAGGACTGAACCCTGTGATACCTCAGTCATTACCTCTCTCCAGTCTGAGAAGGTGCCATTGAGAAGCACTGTCTAAGTCTGAACCTGTAGCCAACTATGGATGCACCTGATAGTTGTTCCATCTAGCCCACTTTTAGTCATTTTACTGATCAAAAAGTCTTAAAGCACTTTGTTGAAAACTTTGCTGAAATCAAGGTATATTATGTCCACAGCATCCCCTTATTCACAAAGGAGGTTATATTAACAAAAATGAGATCAGATTATTCTAGCAAGACTTCTAGATAAATCCATGCTGGCTTCTAGTATTTACTCCATTGTCTTCAAGGTGTTTGCAGAATGACTCCATTATAATCTGCAACATAATTTTCCTTTAGCGGATCCTTTACTTCCTCCTCCACTTTGTGTAGAAGGTAGTTGTTCTCCATGCATGACAAGCAATTCTGAGAGGGGAGAATTTTATTGGTCGAGGTGACAATAAAACAAAAGAAAGTGCTTTTGGTGGCAATTTATGCACCTAATGATCATCAAGAAGTTTTTTTTATCAAAAACTACATACCATACTTCTACAAACTGAATATCAAACTTTCTGCTTAATGGGAGATTTCAATGCAATTGTTGACAAAAAATGGACTATAAGAGTGATACTAATAGGAAGAGAGGAAGGAGAATACTTCCAAAGTCCTTCTTCATCTTACTAGAGGAATTTAGACTGATAGATGCCTGGAGACATAAAAACACAACCACAGCCAAATATACTTTTTATTTGACTAGACATTGGTCACGGTCTAGAATTGATATGATCTGCATAACTCCACACCTAATTCCAGATTTGCTAGAAGTTGAAATAGACTCAAATGTGTGCGCTGATCATAATCCTATAATCATGACCTTGAAAGGAATAACAAAAATGCCTAGATGGACACTTAACAAATATCTATTAAAAGATAAAAAATTTAAAGTAGAAATAATAAAGGAACTAAAATTCTTCTTTCAAGAAAATAAAGTAGAAAAAATCTCTTTACAAAATGTTTGGGACACCACTAAAGCCTATGTCAGAGGACTGATCATAACCTATTCAGCAAAAATAAATAAAAGGAAAAAACAAGAACGACTTAAATTAATAGATGAGTTGACAAAGCTTGAACAGGAATTACAGAAAAATCCATCAAAAAAGGATCTCAAGATACAGATGAATACTTTAAAACACAAATTGAATAATCTAGAAACAAATTAATTAGCTAAACAAATGAAAATGGCCAAGCAGAATTTTTTTGAAACCTGGGAGATGGTTAGCTTACAAATTA